TAAGGTTAAGCTTTATGGCTTTTAATGAGATAAGACCATAGCCTTCATATACATGTATATAGAGTATAACAGGATACTTTCTGTGTATGTGACAGATACTTGGCAATCACCTAGTGAGTGTGAAATGAGGCCGTTTCTAAGAGAACGAAGACAAGGCTATACTCTCCAAGTTCACTCATGATAAACCAGGCACGTTCAAGGCCACAATGAACACAATAGAGAACTGAATGCTACGAGAAGACAAAGCTGAGTTGTATCTGTTGATTTGGTTTACACCAAAATCCGGGTGGTTCAAGACATCATGTTCACTTCCTGGAGAGTAAATCCGACAGATATTAACAATGAGTGGTTAAAGGCTGAAAAACGCTACTTCCTCAGACACAGTTAGTTTTCGCTTATACTCTCGAAAAGTCCGTCTGTCGATTCTGTAATCTAGTTTGAGTCCAGTCTGCATAGTCTATCGAGTCTTCATATGTATAGAGTCATTTCTATTCATGTGGGAGATTGTTGGAACCCAATATTAATAAGCATTTGGACTTGTAATATTGAGTTTGTGTGTGAATAAGAAATGAACTTTAATAAGTAAATGAGCCTTATAAATTCATTTGAGATTTGGGTTTGAGCTTATGGAAATGAAATGTTCCTATTGGCTATAACTAAAAGTGGAAGTTTAGTGGAAGTGTATTTGTCCCACATTGCTCACCAAGGAGAAAATTCTCTTGTATATATATGGCATTCTCACAATAAGGGTCAACAGCATTGTGGAAGTAAAAGGGCATTATGCAAAAACACCTACGCGCGCCGCCGCCGTCGCCGTTGTCGGTGCCAGTGCCGGGCTCAGGCTCGTGCTCGTGCTTGTTGCTCGTTGCTCGTTGCTCGTTGCTCGTTGCTCGTTGCATTTTTTAGTTGGCTCTTAAGGCTCTTTAATCTCTTACCTTAACATATCGTTTATATACATATCGTTTATAATATTGCTATTTTCTATTCATGATTTCAATCGGATTTTCGCGGTCCTACAAAAGATAGAGTGGTAACAATTATAGCTGACTTAGGTGGTGGATTTAGCTTTGCGCTAGAACATCACGATCTTGAACATCACGACTTTGTTCTTTTTCATCTGACTTAGGTGGTGGATTCAGTTGCTACTTAATTTGAATACCTTCACTTGCATGCGTTGCTGCTGTGAACTCCTTTAAGATCAAACATCTTCACCTTATTGAAACTATCAATCTTCCCTGGAGTTGGAGACATTGAGCATTTTTTCCCCACTTTGATGCTTTTAACTCCTCTAAGATCAAACGTCTCCTCCTTATTTAAACTATCAATCTTCCTAGCTTGGAGGCGATGAGCAACTTCTAAGAACAGACTTATTTGATGATTTGCCTCTTTGTGTTATGTCTGCTTCTTTCCGACTCTTCCATATTTTCTAGAAACATAAGCTTCCAAGATTTGAAAGGCATCTGTTTCCCTTATGTTCCTTTGTTGCTTTCTCCATCTTCCTCCAATCTTTAGATGCTAATTATGATATATAGGTTAGTGTTTACGATTTCTTATGTTTATAGGATTTTCGATTTCTTATGATTTAATATAAATATCAACCATTTTTTTCTAATAAAACCGATATTTAGTCAAATCTAATGAAAATGTAAAAATCAATACATGAAATGTCTAATGGAATGACGGTATTTGTGATGTCTAAATTAAGGTTTTTTATTTTAAATATTTTAGTATAAATATGTACGATTCCTTTCTAATTCTCTCACACCCTTCTAAATTCTTTAACTTCTTCCTTCTTCTTTGAATAAGTTTGTACGTTACTTTATAAAAATACGTTTAAAATACATAGAACAGTAATCAAAAGATCTCAAAACTATTTAAACTAAAATTAGTACTGTTTATATCACTCTTCAATAAACTAATGGGAGGATTACTACACTAACCTTAGAAAGTATCTATATTACTTGTTTGGCGCACTTTTATTTTTTTTTTAAAACTAACCTAGCATACCCAAAACACCCTTTTGGCCTTTGTTGAAAAAAACATAATTACGAAAATGCCATTACTTTTTTAATGCCACGTAGGCAGAATATAGCGCTGAAAATTTGATAAGTCTACCAGGCTTTGACGGTAGACTTATCAAATTTTGGTCAACGCAAAAATTTTGTCGGTAGAGTTATTAGGTCGATGGTAGATTTATTCGAGAGTTGGTAGAGTTTACAAATGTTGGTAGACTTATCTTGGTAGAGTTTTGATGATGCGAGGTAGATTTATTATGTTTTGGTAGATTTGTTGTTATGAATGGCAAACTTGTCAAACGTATTGGTAGATTTGTTAAAGAAAGCGTTGACTTTGTCGCATAATTGACTTTATCGGTAGATTTATTGACAATGAGGTAGATTTAATTTCTGAGTTGGTAGACTTATGTCCTTTGGCCGTAGACTTATGTGAAAAAAATTGTCAATATGTGACGGTAGATATATCTGTTTTATGGTAGAGTTATATCTAGTTGGTAGATTTTTTGCTTTTGTGGTAGATATGTTTGTTTTGTGGTAGATTTAAATTCAAGTAAAATTCCTTCCGGTGAGTGGTAGATTATTTGTTACATGAGGTAGACTTACAAAATGTTGGTAGATTTATTTGTTTTGTGGTAGATATGTTTGTTGTGTGGTAGATTTAAATTGAAATAAAATTTCTTCCGGTAAGTGGTATATTATTTGTTACATGAAGTAGACTTACAGAATGTTGGTAGATTTGTTTGTCAGTTTGGTAGAGTTTATGTAATCTGGTAGAGTTATTGTACGTATGGTAGACTTCTTATAATAATCATGTGGTAGATTAATTAAGTTTGATATTTACAAAGATAACCTCGATTTGGTAGACATATGAGTGCTTATGGTAGACTTGTTCTATGGTAGAGTTATTTCCAATGCTTGAGGTAGACTTAGTTATTAATGTTTGGCAGACATTTGACTTTTTGGATTGAAATTACTTTTTTGTCCTAAATGTATTCTCCTATCTACAAAAAAACCAGCGGTTTGGTAGACTTGTTTTGGAATGTTGTATGTTAAACATGTTTCGTACATATGGTAGACTTGTTCCATGGTTATATTTGACTTGGTTTTGTTACCATTGACATTTTCTTTGCATGAGTTTGCTAAGATTATGTCGGTTAACTGTGATTCGATCACAGATGAGTATTGGTCTTTACGATATAGATGCCATAATCAATGGTCAAAAATTTCCAACATGAATATTTTTTCTATGATATATCTTTTCTCTAAGATAACTTTACTTTTCATATTAACTTTGAACATATATGTCATATTTGTAATAACCATCTCTTAACTTATGATCTTTTGATTTTTATTTTTGAATATTTGTTACATTTAACTCTATTTACATAAACTTTTACAACATCACAATGTCAAATGATTTTAGTCATGTGTTTTGATTAAAATTTTATTCAGTTATGATATACATCATAGTGAAAGTAAAGAAATAAATCAAATTGAATAATAACATTACTAGCAAATGTGATAAAAATGTGAAATGTCTGGGTCAATGTTTTACGACAAATATAATTTGAAAACAAAAATATTATCATTCAAAATATAATTATCATTTTTACAAATTCAAATATAGATATATCATCAATTTAATAATAAATCTACCATCATTTCAAAACAAATCTACCAAATGTAAATCTACAATTCATAGTAAAACATGTCGGATCGATGCTGGATATCCCATCAAAGATTTGTTCACCATGGCAAAGCCCATAATCTGTCAGAAAAAAATAAACAAATATTGTTATTCATATATAAAATTCAAATATATACCACTGATAAATCTACCATAAATAACTAATAAATCTACCAAACACATATCATTTTTCAAATAAGTTACCATTAAATGACTAATAAATCTACCAAACCACATCATTTTACAAATAAGTCTATCATTAGATGACTAATAAATCTACCAAACAACATCGTTTTTTAAAATAATTTTACCATCAAATAACTAATAAATCTACCAAACCACATTTCGTTTTTTAAATATATCTACCATCAAATAACTAATAATCTACCAAACTACATACCGTTTTTCAAATAAATCTACCATCACACATTATGAACTTTACAACCAAAAAAATACAAAATCGATTTCCAAATATATCTACCAAACGTACCTGAAAAAAAATTAAGGTTATGGTTTTTACAGAAAAATTTATGCCGCCGACAACCTCCACAACAGCACCATTCCATCGAAACAACGTCTGTCTACTGCGGTTGTGCGCGACGCGGCGAGAATGCTGCTTAAGAGTCACCACCAACCGCCACATCTCCATAGTTTATCGTTGATATTAGATCCAAAAACCCAGATCTAGAAAAAATCAAAGAATTCGAAAAAATGAAACGAAAAACTCACATAATAGCAGAATGAATTGTAGAAGCCATGGGAAGATCTAGATCTCCGAGCTTGGAAACGTTGGAGGCTTCTTGATACAAAAAATCGGTAGAGCAAGTTGTGTTTTTCTCGATCTGAAACATCGATGCTTTGAAATTCATAAAGAATATCTATTCATACAACAAAATTTAACAAAACAAAAGAAAAGATAAAGAGGAGAGCAAGAGAGGAATGAAAAGGTTAAGAAGAAGAGCAAGGAGAAAGAAAGCGGCGCTGGAGAGAGAGAGAGAAGAACATGAATTAGGGTTTTTTATTTTTTTGGTTTTGGTTTTGTAATTTTTTTTTTTTGCTTTTTTCGTTTAAATTTTTTTTCGAAATTAAAGTTTTTTTTAGGAATCATAATGGCATTTTCGTAATAATATTCAATATCTGGATAAAATGGACTTAAACCAACTTTATAAAGTTAATCTAGTAAGCCCTTCAATATGTTAGGCTAAATTTGTCATTTCATCAACCTAGTTTGAGGAATTTTCTCCTAAACTAATTTATTCAACCCCATAAAATTTTTATCCTTTACTTACTAAAACGACGTCGTAACATTAACATTATCCATTTACGAGAAGCTGACGCTAGAGGATCTGGCAACTTCCTTTGACTTTATTTTTCCTTTTTTTTTTTGAAGTGATGGAAAACGTATCTTTGCTCGAAGAAGATAATCGATGGAGGCCATACTTGATGATGGAGGAATACAAAGCTAAATCGAAACTGAGTGAGAGTTTAACCTCTACGGTTTGGCTAGCGAAGCACAGGTTAACCGGAGAAGAAGCGGTGATGAAGTGTTTCCATCTCTCGAAGCTCAATAGCAATCTCCGAAGCTGTATAGACAACGAGCTCCACTTTCTATCTTCCGTTCACCATCCCAACATCATTCGTCTCCTCCAAGTTTTCCAAGTAACTGACTCCACACGAATCCTGGGTCTTTCCGTCTTCTCGAATATGTGAAACCCTTTGCTTCAAATTCAAATCTTGTGTTCTTCCAGGATGGGGAATTACTCATCATGGTTCTGGAATATTGTGATGGAGGAACTTTATCATCGTATATTCAATGTCATGGAAGAGTTGAAGAACATATTGCTAGGAGATTTATGAAGCAGATTGGTGATTTCAAGCTCTTACTGGATTTTATTCTTCTGGAATTAAAAGAGTATTGATGATGTTTGATGCAGGAGCTGGTTTGGAAATCATTCATGATAATCACATCATCCATAGGGACCTGAAACCTGAGGTACTGTGCTAGATTCATGACAACTTTGGACTGAGATTAGAAGCTGGAGTCAGGATTGTGACATAGATTTTGATTGGAACAGAACATTTTACTCACTGGATCTGGGGATGAATCAGTGTTGAAGATAGCTGATTTTAGTCTTTCAAGGTGAGTTAGGAGGAGAATGGTTATAAATGGAGTATAGTGTAGCTTTTGAGGTGTTATCATGAGTCAATCTATGGCTACTATTGCGATAAAGATCGTTTATATGTTCATGTTTGAAAGCAGGAAACTACTTCCGGGAAAGTATCTCGAGACAGTGTGTGGTTCTCCGTTTTACATGGCTCCTGAAGTTCTTCAGTTTCAGAGATACAATGAAAAGGTGACAGTGTTTCATGAGATTATGGTTCAATTTGGTTTTGCAATGGAGACTCATAGAAAAACATCTTAGGCTGACATGTGGAGTGTAGGAGCAATACTTTTCGAGCTTCTTCAAGGGTATCCACCTTTTCGCGGTATGAACAATGTTCAGGTGAGATCTTGAATATTAGTGGTATTTTTTTGATCTCAGAGCTCCAATGCCGTAAACATAAATCTTTTTACTACTATACCATTAGGTTCTGAGGAAGATCAAATCTAGTACATCTCTTCCCTTCTCTCAGTTGATTCTTCAGGAGTTGCATCCAGATTGCATTGACGTTTGTTCAAGGTTGCTTTGTATTAACCCAGGTGCAGAAAAATCTCAACTGTGTTTCACCATGTCCATATTGCTATATATTAATATATGTATTTAGTTCTTGGTCTTATCTGTGTTTTGCAGTTACGCGTCTCTCTTTTGACGAATTCTACCAACACAAGTTCTTAAGGCTATGATCATGTGTATAATGTAAGAAGATGAAGTCTTTGTAAAGAGTCTGAAAACTTTTCTTGCCTGTATGTTGCAAAAATCCGGTTTTTGAGGATTCTCTTCTGTAGATAATAGTTTTCAAGATTCCTCCTTTTAGTTAAATCCAAAACCCAGATAATACCCAAAGGGCCTTTTTTTTTCTTAAGCCCAAGATTCGACCGATTTAAGAAAAGAGCCTCCTTTGCCGGAAAAACGAAAATGGCTCCGACGAAGAAAGGAAAGAAAGCAAATTCAGCCGCATCAACGACGGCTAAATCGACCGCCGATGATAGCTCTAGCTTTCCGTCGTGTTTGCGCCTCGTTTCACCTTCCTCCGTCGCCATCACTATCCACGCGAAGCCTGGTTCCAAATCCGCCTCCATAACCGGTATCGAGCTTATTTCATTCCTCTTCTGTGTATATCGGTTTGATTCTTTCTTACACCGTCTCAGATTTTACTGATTTAGTTTTCTCTCTTTGATCTGGAGATGTGAGCGAGGAAGCGGTGGGCGTTCAGATCGACGCTCCGGCCAGGGATGGTGAAGCTAACGCAGCTCTTCTCGAGTACATTAGCTCTGTAAATCTCTCTCTCTCTCTCTCTCAATAGGAAAAGTTTTTAGCTTTTTTTATATGTAGATGAATCATGAACTCCTTCTCTTTTAGCACCTGGATTAAACCACTACTGTTATCACATTCAACTTCTTTGCAAGCGATTTAGTGTGCTGATCAGTTTGATTGTGTCTCTGTAATGTTTGATTAAATGATTAGGCTACTAACACCTTGTGGTAGATATCGCATCGTAAAAGAGCCTCCTTTGATAGGATATGAGCAACGTATTATCTCACCTTCTCTTTGAGCCATTACTTAGTCTCATAAACCTGCACTGGTGAGAGCTTCCATGGACAAATGATTTTAACCTGTTTGTTAAGATACGTGTAATTGAGTTGTCATGTGAGCTGATTCTGAGAGTGAAGAGATTAATCCTTCTTTCAATGACATCCTCACTAAAAGATGTGACCTTCAGGTATTGGGGGTGAAGAGAAGACAAGTTTCATTGGGTTCAGGATCTAAGTTTCGAGATAAAGTTGTGATTGTCGAGGATATGACTCAACAAAGCGTTTTCCAAGCTTTGTCCGAAGCATCAAAACCTACCTAAAAGTTCCCCAAGAAGCCAAGTGGTTTATTCTTCACTTAAGGTACGAATGGGATTAAGATTTTCCGGACTGGTAATATAGAGATCATTGGTCAGTTATACTGTGATTGTATGCGACATGTAAATTTTTAGACCAAGTTTTGTTTAATGTAGTCAGAGTTGATCTGAAGTCATAGAGTGACTTGTTAACTTTGGATTTAGGATGGCTTCGATATCTGTCTTTGCTTCATTGAAGTGGAAGTTGTGTAAGCTATTTTGTTGGCCAAAGCAATTAGCTATTTATTGTGTTCCCAAATATACCAAAACTCATGATCCATTGAATGTGTTATTTGTGTTAAATTCAAAAATTCATAATCCATGGCAGAACTTTAATGATATAATATCTGAATTTGCCAATAATCTAAATTTGAAGGACACAACAGTTTATCCTACATTGGTTCAAGAATCAAATCTTAAAGCAGCAAAAATACACTAAAAGAGCACGAATCTTTTTCTTTATTTTATTAAAAAAGCATCATTGGCAATGGTCAAAAAAAAAGTACATTATTTACATTTCATCAAAAGTCCAAAACGAAGTGAGTCGACTACGCATGGAAACGTAGAAACTGGGAACCGTAAGCACAAATATTAGCCCACTCAATGTTTCCCCAAACTTCATCATCATCATCATTGCGAGTTTCCCATGGTAGTTTGCTATTTCAACCAAAAAGCATTCTTATATTTAGGAAGAAGTTTGCTATGCTATTTCTAGACTTGGATTTTAGTTCTTCACTGTTTGCTTTGAATCTTTTTGTGAGTCCATTAAAGGATGTATGTTGCTTCTAAACTATAGCTACGAGAGAGCGTAAAAGCTTTAAACCCTGGATTTAAAGTTAGGGTTTTTTGGAAGCCCTTACCATTTCAAACAAATCTGATCAATCTCCCAATCGGTCAATCGAAGAGAAGAGACGAGACGTGAGGGGAAGAGAAGCTCACGAGATCCCAACGATGGTGGCAAGGCATTTCCCTGTTCCTGCCATTTTTACTTTAAAAAAAAAAAAAAAAATCAACACGGGTCAAACTCGGGTCGGACACGAGTCAAACACAGATCGGATACGGGTCGGACACGGTTTAGACACGGTTTGGCATGATAACCGACATAAAATCACCTCGATTTGTGTGCCAAGCCGCGTTAAAACTGTGTCCAAACCGCGGTTAAGCCATGTCCCAATAGCCCAATATTCACAAAGTTTATATAGACACGATTATAGGCTAAAAAAGATTTCGGCCGCTCTAATTGGTACAAATTTTACAGAGAGCTATTTTTATCTCCTTTTCTCATGCGAAGACTTGGATTTTCTGTATCGACAATGAAGAACCATTGTGGAGATTGAGAGAAGAGCTAGGGGTTGGTATATAGGAACAGGATATATGGTGTTTGAGATGCTGGGAAAATTCAAATAGATTCATTACTGCAACTTTTTGAATGATCATAATGACTTGCTAAAGATACTATTTGCTCCGTTTAAAAAAAAAGATACTATTTGTTGAATGAGGAGTGTAGATATTGATTTGTGGTCTCAAGCTTCTGTAATCAGATGCAATGGATGCTATTTTAAGTATTCATAAGAAAGGCAATGGCACTCATTGCTCTTTTGAAGAGTTTTCATCTTGTTTCCCTTCTTGTTTTCAAGGTTGTAGATGCAGTGGATGTTGTCGAGACTCACTGCCCTTTTAAAGAGATCTCATCTCCTTTCCCTTCTTGTTCTAAGTGTGCTAACTTGCTTGATTATAGAGTTTTTGGTTATTTTACAGTTTTCCTCACAACTTCTAACCACTGATGGGCTTCAGCTTGTGTTTTCTTACACGAGGGTAAAAAGTATAATGGTACAGAACAAAGGCAAGCTTTAAGTCTTAAAACTGCAACAAAGATCTATGGAGTTCAGTTATGGAAATGGACCATATCAAAATTATGGAAATCATGAAGAATAAGAAATCAAAAATATCAAACCACACTACCTGATTTTAAATATAATACCAAACGCATAAAACAAAAATTGTTGTATTGTATAGTGATAAGATATAGGAGAGATATACATATACTTTTCCTATATCTTATCAGTCACCCAAAAACACACTAACACTAAAGAACAAGACAAAGAAAAGAAAAGAAAAAAAGCCATTGGCAATTGTCAAAACAAAATCATAATTATTGTTGATCAAAAACAACTCAATCGACTACGCAAGAAAACGTATGAACTGGGAACTGTAAGCACAACACTAGCCCACTCAATGTTTCCCCAAACATCATCATCACCAACATTGCGTCTTTCACACGCAATCACCGTACACCATATATTCTTGGATTGACAATGGCCTCGATGCTCAAACTTGTCCCATAAGATTAATAGTTTCCCATGGTAGTTTGCTATTTCAACAAAATCACCATGACGGCTCCCATTCAACATAGCCAAGCCTCTGATCACTCTCCATTCTTTACGCTTTTGGTCATACCAAAAGCAACGTTTCTTGTCACAACCATAACATACATTCCCTATCACACACTTGACTAATCCTTTTCTTGAAGCATCCCATTTACCTTGTTTCGTATCATAAACATAGTCTTTCTCCTCATTGCATCTAAGGTAAAGCTTTCCTTGGAACCCCTCTATTGTTTTGATCCTAGAGAAGCGTATCTCGGCGCCAGGGTCAGGTAAAGGCTCCCAAGTTTGAGACTTCAGGTCGAAAACCTCGGCCCAATTCGCGGTCTCGTTAGCCTCACAACCTCCCATTACATATATTTTCCCATCTAGAACGCCCATAACCGCTCTCTCTCGAGCTACAGTCATGATAGGGCCTTCACGCCAGAAGAAGTCCTTATCACAGACCAACAAGACAGGGGACGGATGATTGTTTTGGAAGAGTGCATAGTATTCTGAACCAACGGTGACAATGAACATCGGTGTACGAGGTAAATAGCAAGAGGGTGCTGGTACCAACAGAGTATTTCCGGTAGACTTCTTCTTCTTCTTCTTGCCGATGTCGTTGGTTAGGGTTTGTTCAGGATTTATCCAGAGACTAAACCAGGATGGAGGAAGATCACTGGATAACTGTAAGCAGACATTGAAGACACTTTCATAGGTTTTGAGGTGATACCGCTCTGCGCGGAGCTCAATGGATAAGAGGAGAGAGCGAAAGGTCTTGCAGACCAAGGAGAGTTTCGGGTAGTAAGATCTTGATATCCTGGCTAAGCAGTTGATAATGATATCTTTAGGAACCAACAAAAACGAAAAGGACAGAGATGAATTTGTTACTTCGGGATTCATAGCGGTAGAGGACGTTTTGTAGAATTGTAGATTAGGGTTTAACACCAAATAGCCCTTTAAAAACTTTAGCAGCGTATATACATTCTTAAAAGAGCAAACGATCGTTACGATCCCGGATACGTTTAGGACTTTCAACATGTAGTCATGATTTAATTAATATGATTAGGAGGTTTGACAAAAAAATTAATATGATTAGGAGATTTTACTTTTTTAAACATAGTCATGATTCATAAATAAAATTAGGAGTTTTCATTTTTTTAACATTAAACTAGGTGAATATCCGTACGTGCAGATTTTTTTTTCAATTATTTTAAATTTATATAAATTTTATTTTCCTAATAAAATATAGAAAAATTAAATCAAACAGCCCTAAAAAACTTAAAACTTTATGGAATAACCCCATTTGGAAAGGAGACATATTTAACTTTCATTAAAGTGAGTTTAATGAAGTTTCGCGATTTCAAATCACTGGAGATTTCATTTTCCAAATTCCGGTGAAGAGGATACAATTCCGATTTCATTTCACCCGATCACGATTCCAATTTTCGGCGAAGATGATACAATTTCCGAGGAAGAGATTGTCGCTCTCTGATCCTGGTTTGATTCGACGAACTGATTCTTCTGAAGCGAAAGAATCGATTTCACACAAGAGAGAATCACAGATTCTGGTGAGAAGCGAAGGAATCGATTTCAGCTCACCGGCGATTGAAAGATTTCTTATCCGCATATCGTCGTCGATTCATATCATTCGTCGATTCATATCATTCGTCGAATACATCGTCGATTCGCATCTTTCATCATATTCGATTAAGCTCAACGACAAATATATCAGGTATGTAGATTCACATCTACAGCGACGATTCACATCTTTCGTCGATTCACATAGGACAATTCATCTGTCATTATAGCTGTTCGATAACTGCCGTTGTTTTGGATTAAAGGATATCTTTTAGTTTAGTTTTGGTGTTGCAAAATGGTAAGAAATTGTATTGGGAGAAAATGAGAAGAATGTTTGTTCGGAAGAGAACTCATTTTATATCCTTAAGAAGGCATTCCTAATTGATAAAATGAAATGATTGCTGCTTGTTTTCTTTCTTGACAGGCTCTATTGTAACAAATATGGTTGAAGTTTTCTGTGTTTGCGGTGAGTGGAAGAAAAATGAGAAGCAGGAATGGGATTTTGTAACGGATGCAAATGAAGGATCAAAAAAGTTTAAGTTTGATGAGCATCATACATTTAAGGATTTAGTTGAGATGGTTCATGATGATTTAGGGATCGATTCCAGAGCTGTTATTGCACTTAGCTATGAAGCTCTCATGAAGATGAGGTTAATGGTCCAGAATTGTCCACCCGTGTTTCTAAAAAACGATCGCCAACTGAGGAGTTTCATCAATATAATCAAAACATCATCTGAAGTTATTCCATTATATGTAACTGTGACTGAAGATTCTTATGCACATAGAATTCAACAGGTAAACATCATCTGAATTGAGTCATAAATATGTTATACGTATTCTTAAATAATCCCTAAAAGCTTTCTTTGTGTAGCTAACTCATGGAGCAAATGGAGACGACAAATCAACATCTGCGGCAAACAGATTTTCAGGTGTTGATACATTACGGCTTGTGTCAAATCTTCCTATTTCTATAGTGGCATTTCAAATTCATCCCAACTCACACAAATGTCTGCAACTACACCTACTGTTTCTCATCTGGATGTTTCATTCAATCAAGAAAATCAACAGGTAATGCTAGCAATCTCTCTTTGTTAGTGTTGCACGGTTCAAGAGTAATCCTGGTTTTATTTAGATATGTTTTCATAAATGTGTTATACGTATTCCTAAATAATTTCTACAAGCTTTCTTTTGTGTAGCTAACTCATGGAGCAAATAGAGACGAAAATTCAACATGTTCTACAATTGATACTCTGCGTTCTGCTCCTGACCTTTCTCCTATAGGCATTGCACATCCCTCAGTTGATTTTTATGTCAATAAACACTTCAAGAACAAAGAAGAGTTGATGCTTCAAATGAGGAAATGGGCATTGGATTGGAAGTTTGAATTCAGATCAGCATGGTCAAACAAGTCGAGGGTGGTTCTAAAATGCGTTGACCCCAATTGCACATGGAGGATGCGTGCAACAAAGCTCCTTTCTTCTGAATTCTTTGTGGTGAGGAATTATATAAGTGAACACAACTGTGATACAATTCATAGGAACACCAACCATTGGCAAGCAACTGCCAAGGTGCTTGGCACTCTGATGTGCAACAATTATGGAGAGAATAAGTATGGTCTTAACCCAAAAAAATCATGGAGCAAGTCAGACTCGACCATGGTGTACACATTGGATACAAACAAGCATGGAGGGTTAAAGATTTTGCTCAGGATTTGATCAGAGGGACTCCCGAGGATAGCTATCAAAACCTCTCGAAGTGGTTGTTTAAGGTTCATGAGAAAAATTCTGGATCCAAGGTTTATCTTGAGATGGATCCAAATGGAAAAAAATTCAAATACAGCATTGTTGCTTTTGGTCAATCGATAAGAGGATTTGAGCTGATGAGAAGAGTTATTGCCGTGGATGGTACTTTTCTTAAGGGAATATTTAAGGGAAAATTTAAGGGAACATAACTTGGAGCTTGTGCACAGGACGGAGATTATTCTTTGTATCCGCTTGCGTTTGGGATAGTTGACTCTGAAAACGAACATGCGTGGAGGACTTAAGACCGTGATCCCTGATGCGTCTGATTTGGTCTTTGTTTCAGATAGAGCTCATTCCATTGCAAAGGAACTTTCAGTGGTTTATCCGCTTGCACATCATAATATTTGTAGAATCAATCTGTTGAAGAATATAACACCAAAGTATGGGAGAACTTGGTTGTTGCCTCTTGTAGAAGCTGCAGCTGACGCTTACACTCGTCATGAGTTCATTGGCATCTTCAATGACATAAGGTGTATAAGCCCCAAATTAGCTGCATATTTGGAAGAATCCGATTTTGCAAAGTGGGCTCGCTGTTATGCACCTTCAAACAAGTAAGTACAATGTTTTAAGCAGCTATGACTGATTTTAGGAATGCTATCCTAAATTGTTTCTCTGTCTTTTTCTCTAACTTGTGGTCTTGCTTGTATGCACCTTCGAACATGTACAACATCATGACAATCAACATCGCGGAGTCTCTGAATTCCATTTTAAACTTGGCTCGTGAGTTACCAATAATGTCTCTGTATGAGACCATTAGGTTAACACTCATAACATGGTTTCATGAACGTCGGGAAAAGGCTTTTAAACACAAAAAGCTTGTCACACCACGCGTAGCGAAGATGATTGTAAAGAGATACAATGCTGCAATGAAACTTGATGTTTTCCAAGTAGATCGGTATGAGTTTGAAGTAAAGGACGAGACTCGGAAGTACATTGTTCATCTGGAAAACAAGCAGTGCACTTGTCTCGTTTTTGACATCGACAGAATCCCCTGTGTCCATGCTATTGTTGCAGCTAAACGTACAAACAAAGACGAGAACAAGTGTGTGGATCAGGCTTACTTGACGGAAACCTGGGCTAAAGTATATGCTGAGAGCATTCATCCATGTGGAGATTTGACAAATTGTGATTTCCCAGATACTGTAGTAATAAATTCATGCACACCACCTACTTGTAAGTAAATCAGTGGGAGATCTCCGACAAAAAGAAAGAGATCAGTGGGAGAGTTTGGTGTACCCGATTCAAAATTCCAAGGACACAAATGTAGCCGATGCGACATAGGAGGACACAACAAGAGTACATGCAAATCACTTTTATGAAGGTTTTCAATTTTACAGGAAGATATTACAGCATTTTTTAGCAAGACGATTGCTTCTATATTGGTTTAGGAATATACCATACGTGTTTAGGAACAGTTTCCTAAATATTTTATTTTCAAACACTTGTAAATGTTTAGACCTTTGTTATGGCTTGTTTGAACTCTCTATTTGTGATGAGATTTTTATAACAATAGTATACTATATTATTTGATTCAGTAGACTTGAGAATGTTTTACAAAGCTTAAGGTTTGAGAGTTAAACAAGAAAGATTAAGAACTTGAGAGAAATTACAGATTCAAACTTTACCATTGATTCATTAGACTTTTAAAATGTTTTGCAAAGCATAAGTATTGAAAGCTTAAGAGAACTTACTATATTCTAAAATTTTGCTATGGTTTAGGAAGTTTTTCGAAAATTGTAGGAAGCCTTTAGATATATTTAGGAATACGTTCCCAAATTCTTATTTTCAAACAGTCTTAAATGTGCAAAGCATAAGTATTGAAATTTCTACACGTTATATGTGCTTGACAACATAATGAGAGCCCAATTTTCTTTTTTGTCTCGGTTTGGGCCTCTTTCGTATTTGAAAGACCTTTTTGTGAAACCTTCTTGTGAAGTTAGAAGTTTATATTAGGAATACATATTCTCTGTAGATACGGGTTTAGGAATACATTCCTAAATCATTATATTAGGTAGTTTTATTTTGCTGCCATTTTCAAGATTTATATACAGCATACTATATTCAGTGTGCATATAGTTGGTTCTTTTGTGAGATCAAATGAATAATCTCGACTGTTTGCTGTTATTCTTGCTTATGATGTGTTTGGCGATGAAACTTCTCCTCCATAACCGTCTTGTTTAACGATTTTTTGATTACTGTGTATTGAACTTCTATTCTATAACCATAGTATCCATTATCCTTTGCTTTTCGAACATATTAGGAAGACATTAAACATATTTAGGAATAGATTACTAAATAACTAACAATATCAAAGGTTAAGGCTTTGGTTATGACTTTTTTTGAGGTTTTTTGAGTTTTGGTCATTGTTTTTGATTTTTTATCGAGGATTTTTGAGTTTTGGTCGGGGTTTTTTGAGTTTTGGTCGAGTTTATTGGGTTTTGGTCGAGATTTTTTGAGTTTGGCCAAGGTTTTTTGAGTTTTGTCCGAGTTTTTGGATTTTTGGCCGATGTTTTGTTTTAGGCCGAAGATTTGATATGGCCCAACTCTCTTATTGGTTTTGGTTTTAGTTTTGGACGAGGTAAATGATTTCAAAGGATATTCATAAATTGGTTAAAATGTTTCCAAAATCTCTTAAGATTTAAATTGGTTCATTGGTTTCGGAAGATCTTCATAAATTGGTTAAAATGTTTCCAAAATACTCGATAAGACTTTCTAAATTCTGAATTTCTGTAATGATTTTCATTGAAGATCGAGTTTGATTACAACAAGACAATATTAGATTGTATACAACTCTTTTCATAAAACGAACTTGACAAAACGACACAACACAAGCAAATGACTATTGAATCCCTTGATTATTTTTCTTCTTCTCACTTGATTATTTTTTCTTCGTTGCAGACTTGAATGCTTCAAGCTCTTCACTTTTGAATCCTCTGATTAACTCCTTCCCAAGACTTCCTCTTCATATACTTCACCTCTTCCCTGTGCAAATCTGTTCATTCCAACATAAGTCAATTCATAAAAGCATACAAATATAAACTATTGAACAACCAAATATAAACCATTAATACAACCAAATATAAACTTATAAAAAAACATAGTTCACATAAATAAAGTATTCTACATCCGTAGTAGAACATAGATGGAGTTTCATAAAAAAAACATAGATAGAGTTTAGAGTTCCATAAAAGATGACTTAGAATAAAGATAAGGTAAACAAAAGCAAAAAAAAATTTCGTGCCCTAAGTGTGCTCGACGGTCCATGCACGAGCAACCGAATCGAACGCTGCTTTGTCTTCTCAAAAGAGTTTGGCAATCGTTTCGTCATAGTGGTCATCATCACCAATCTCTGGTGCAGTTAACTTCGCGTGAAGTTCAATGAGCATCTAATTTCAAAGAATTTTAAAACCAAATTAGTAACAGACAATAACGATTCATAAACCAATAATTGGAAAAGGTAAAAAGATTACTCGGTTGATGGTTTAGATGGGCAAGAAGTACTCGTTCTTCAACATCTTAAGAAAGATGTTTCCATGTTCACCCACGTTTGGGTGGAAGATTTTGGTGTTGAACGAGACCTGCAAAAATATCAGTGTTATTAGGAATCATTTCAGAGTTCTAGAATATAAAACTATAGTTTATCAAGCCCTTACTAAAATAGTAATATGACAAGCATTCCAACAATCCAAAAGCCTAATCATACCTTCGGCGCCTTAAATGGGTATTCAGGAGGGATGTTCATGGTGAGTTCGAAAACGCCGTTCTTGTAATGGGAATCTTTCGGCCCCATAAGCATCGCTTTCCAATGGTACAAATCTCCATCAACCGGTCCTAATCAAATCGTCAAAAACACATGTTAGTAGAAAGAAACTGTATTCTAAGAATTTCGGAGAACACAAATACAGAAACGAAATACTTGCACTGAAAAGATCGCTGTTAACTCTCTCGAGTTCCTTCATCTGCCTCTTAATAGTGTTCAAAGTAGACAATTTCAGGAGATTTTAAGGATTTCGAAGAACACAAAGATGGAATTTTTTTTTTCTGTGTGTGGAAGTTGGTTTTTACGAAGGAGGATGAGTCTCCTTTTATAGAGGAGGAGAGGGAGTCGGTTTTCAGAGAGGAGAAAGGGTCGGTCAACGGTGTCTCGTAAATCGGAAATTAGAACACTTGCATTTTTTCAAAAAGGTAATTAATTCATTTTTGACTGCACCGTTTCTCTGTGTAGTTGTGTCTTAGTCGTGTCGTTTCAGAAAAATGATGATTGGTTATTTTGAAATTTTACTTTTGTATAAAATATAGGTCATATTAACATATGTATAGAATTATTGGTTTAGTATAGAATTCTTGATTTTGTATGAGAACTTCCTAAGTTTCGTTAGTTGATTGCTTTTCTTAGTTTCTCGAGCATTTTAGTAGGTCTTTATTCATTTTAAGGAATGATTTTCTAAATTTTGCAAATGAATTATGAACTTTACGTTTTAATGGTTTACGAAGTTTTGTAAACGATTTTCTAAGTTTTAATGATTTTCTAAGTTTTGTAACACTTATCATATGATCTTTGTAAGTTCTGTTTACTTATCATATGATCTTTTGTATGTTTTGTAAATGATTTTCTAAGTTTTAATGGTTTTATGAAGTTTTGTAATACTTATCATATGATTTCATATTTCTTTATAAGAAGATTATTAACTATTAAGTAAATAGACAAAAATAGAACTAAATTACCTGAGCAGCGTCATACTTATATGATGTGCTTTCCACTCCTTCAGCCACCTGGAGTAAGCCTTAAAAGCAATCTCCCATATCTCAAAACAATCAAACCAGAGACATAAAAGCAACAACAATTTACGTTAGAAAGGCTTTCCTAAACAAGGACTGAACATTCCTAAAACATAAGTCAGTTCCAAAAAAACACAAGACAATTACAGAAGATTAAGTTATAGCCAATCCTAAATCCAAAACCATAAGACTAATCGCGAAGGTGTTCCATAAGAAATCCTAAAAGGCTGAATCCTAAATCCAAAAGCATAACACAATTCCGGAAGATATTCCTAAATCTGATTAAACACATCCTGAATAGCTTCCTCAAAGCTCTGTAGGACAGAACTCCTCATATAGCTCGCATGCAAGCTTTGTTCTTATGTCGTGTGCATTGTCATCCTCAAGCTTCGTCATGTCTCGAATGCCCATAGAATGGCATTCGAGAATCTTCAAAACAAACAGAGCTGAGTTCGCAGGAAGATTGGTCTTCGGGATGTTTTTACCGGATAATTCTTCAACTTTGTAAGGAACCCTGTCCTCATCCATCACTGTTTTATCTGCAGTAGCACAGTAGAACATGAATCATCTCTGCACCAAAAATATCACATTTTGTTCAATAAATGAAAGAATCAAAGGAAAAGAATGTTGATATAAAGTAGCGAGAGTTTTTATACCTGTGAATTCATTCATGTGCTTCATGATGACATTGATCTTGTTAGAAGGGAGCCCAGACCTTACAACAGTGATATGTACCTTCTTGAAGTCGATCACCATCCCAATCCAGTTAGCGCTCTTGAATGTGATGCCATAAACTACATCCACATCTATTCTCCATACCTTCCCTGGAGCTATTTTCCCGGTAGGAACCAACAACACATCATCTGAGAACCATTGATGACCTCTCCTAGGATTTTTAAACCTGGAGTAGCATGATGAGAGTTGTCTAAAAAATTGAGATTTGAAAAATGTAGCTAATGGGAGATGATTGTTGTGGAAGTATGCTGCATGGGTGTCCTTTCTCCTTGCCCACATTGAGATCGTGGCAGCAATGTGCTACAAAAGAAAACATGTTTAGGAACCTATTCATAAAATTTCAGAAACAAGGTTTTAAAGAGATTAGAATGCTTATTTAAACGCAGAAATACCTCATAAGTCAGACACTTCTCCGGATCTTCTAACTTATTGAACAAAACAGCCTTAACAGGAATGTCATTAATATTGAATCTGCATTAGTCAAAATAAAAAAATAGTTAGAAAACAAACAATATGTGATAACAAAGATTATATAACAGAATGTACTAACCATTCTGTGTTATTCCCCCAATCGTCCAAGGTTGTTAGTCTCCTAATATGTGGTGTCAGGAATGGATCAATAACCACATTGACCTCAGGCGTTACATTTAAGGCTGAGTTTTTTGGTCCCCGGAATTGAGTCTTGTTTGACGTTGATTCTTTGGGTTGGCGTTTGGTCCTTCTCAAGAAAACCTTTCCTTGCTTCGATTCTTGAACACTAGCAGTTTTGGTTTGGTCTTTTTTTAGATCTCTTATTAGCTTTTTCGCCAGCATCATCAACTACTTTCCTTTTCCCAGAAGAAACGATAGCAGAATTCGTCTTGCTTGATCCAGGCAGCTTGTTGATCTGCAATTTAAAAAAATTATTAGAATCAGTCTGCAATATGTTTTAGGAATGATTTCCCGAATCGCATAACAATCTTCCTAATTCTAATCTACATGCTAAATTTTTTGGAAAGCACTACCTTTTCTCTCGAAATCCATTCACCATTTGCCCACTCCATACCAGGCCGAATGTATTCACCAGAAATCAGTTGAGTTTCATCAAACTGAGGTATTCTGACCCCGTAGATATTGTTTTGCTTGACAACAATCATTTTTGCTGCCCACCATCTATCCTTGAAAAACACATCCACTTCTCGTAGCAGATCAATCCCATCATGACTATCTCTGGGTGGTGGTTGTTTATGACGTACTTTCTGTTTGTTGACACTCTTCCTCATCTTTGTATCTTTACTCACGAAAATCTTCGAGTGCTCAACAGTGTAGACATCTTCCTTTATGGCTATCAACGTTCCTTCAAACCACCCACTTTCTTCAGTTTTAATTTCCACATGATCGCCAATATCAATATGACGAAGATCAGGATCTGTTCTATCCTGCAAAAAAAAAAAAAGAGTTGAGTTTGTTTTTAGAGTGTTTTTTAGAGTTTTTGTTTCAAGTCAAACTATTCTAGTAAAAACGTTACCACAGGATTCAAGTCCTCTTTGTTTCTAGGGGACACACGTGTATGTGCCTCATCAGCCGGACAATCGTAAAACTTGTCTTCTTCTATCTAAAGCACAAAATATATAATATCCATTAGAGAACCATTAACATACGTTTAGGAAGAAGTGTCTATATTCATCATTAAAAAGAGAAAAAGAAAAACAAAAAACCATCAGTGGTGATTTTTTACCCATTCCTTATAAATCATTTTGTCCTCAATTTTGAATTCGTGTATTTCTTGTGTTTTATGTATGATGACAAAGGCTTTTTTTCCCTAAGATTTATTAAAGTCACAACACCTCTTCTCGTGTTCTAGAGGTTTTATGAAGGCCTTACTAAATTAAATTACAAAGAGTTTAAAGGGAGACGAGGAGGTCAAAACATTACCACCTCATTCGGTTTTGGTCCAGTCTTGCCAGATGCAGAGATGTCATCATCACCAATTTGTTTTCCTTGTTCCACAACAACACCAGCATCGACACCAGGCACAGTTATTGAATCCAAAGAGGATTTGTTTTGAGCCGTAGGATCTACATTTTCTTGCAGAAACAAAACATTTATATTTTTATGGGGAATCATTTCAATAGATAGATGTTTTGGCAATATTTTTCTAAAAAATGTTAATTACCTCCGAGTATTGATCATTGTCCAAAATTGGTTATGTGCATGTAGTAGCTGGGTTTGGAGTCTCGATGGCAGTTTGGGTTTGAGTCTCGCTGATTTTTTGTGTTGGAGTCTCGCTGGCCTTTTTTGTTGGAGTCTCCATGACATTTTCCATCTGCAAATATTAATCTAATTTCAGGAAACGTTTCATACGGCTTATAGAAGAAAGAAATCACATCTCATCATCATCATCATCATCACTATCATCGTCATACATATTATATAAGTCAGAAATCTTACCTCATCATTAAAACCGTAGTTTTGGGTGTCATACTGCGTCTGAGATTCGTCAATGGCTTGTGTGCTCTGCTGCAAGAATTTTTAAATAATTTAAGAAAGCATTTCCTAAATAAGAAGTATGCATTCCTATATTAGTGATAATGCCTTCCTAAATTAGGGGGAAAGCATATACCTTACCTCTTCATTATCTGGAGTGGTCGGTTTGGGGAGTTGTACATTATCATTACACACCTGCACCTGTTAGAATTTTTACATAGTTTAATAAAGCATTCATAAATTTGTGTCTTAATTAGGGAGAAAGCATATAGCTTACCTCTTCAGGATCTTGAGGTGTTGGACTGAGGATACGTTGTTCTTGAGGGGTTTGACTTGGGAGCTGAACATCACCACCACGGACCTGCAAACATTTACAAATAATATTTCAACATTATTAGGGAAGCTATAGACTGTTTTTAGGAACGATTTCCCGAATTTGAAGAATGCATTACCTCTTCAGTGGAACTGTGTGCTTGAGCAGCATCTCCTCGTGTAAACTTACCAGCGGAAGCGTTCTGTTGCACACCATCTGTCTTAGACTGGGAGATCTAATAGAGGTAAGTCAACTACCACTTTGAACAAGAGTAAAAAAAAAAAACTAGCTTACTTTGGTGATTCTCATCTTTTCCTCTATGTTGGACAAGCGGTTATTGATATCACTTAGTCCGTTTCGAACCATATTGTAGAGGTTGTTCAGCTTTGTCATCATTGACTCATCAGATGTCCAGGCTCCAGCATTTGCCCGGCTCCAGCATTTGATGGCCCGGCTCTAGCAGCGATCCCAAACCGGTGAGATTGTTGAGCTATTTGATCCATTGCATCCATGACGTCAATTGTTTCATTTTCCCAGTCTTCAATCCTCACCTTGTAACCATTGGTTACAATGTCAACAAGGTTATTAAGATCTTGATCAGGATTGTCCTCCAAAAACATTGTGTCTTCAGTGTCACCTTGTATAGATGGTAAGACACAGACAACC